CTGATCATTCTCTGGTCGTTCGTTAGGAACCGCCCTCCCTAACCGTCCCTCATTATGCGATACCGTATTATCCGGCAGTGGCCTGCCCGGGCGCCAAGCATCCAGTTCCCTTTTTTGTCTGGTCGACAGCTCCGCCTGCGGAAACGCTTCCCGTACTTTACGACGCCACAGTCCCCGGTTTTGTGCCATCCGGAACCAATCCCCGCGTGGAATACCCGCCTCCCGTAAGCATCGTTCCAGCCATCGAGACTGCCCCGTCCAAGTGTTGTATTTGAGCGCTTTGCCTTTCCACCAACCGAACAACATCTGTTTCGGGCGTCTCTGGGTGTTCATACGCGCCACATGTCCCAACCATGTTAATGACGCCCGCATGACCATATGTTTCGCCGTGGGCCACCCTGCAGCCTTTCGCAACATTTCGTTACTGATGTGCAGGTCATGCAATTGTTGATACTTTACACCAAAACACCTGCGCAAACTGGCCAAAACCATTTGTTCGATTCTAGTGATGTGCATGGAGTCCCAGGCTCGTGTTCTGGCCGTAGACAGCGCGGTAGGGATAATTACGGCTTTCATTATCGTCAGTCTGACCGACCGCTTCATGTTGCATTTTTCCCGCCGAGTTCTTGCTCCACCGAACGTCCAGCTTTTTGCGACCGCCGCCGTTTTTAAAGCTATCGCCGACCTGCGTTTGCTTGTTTCCTCAAACGTCCTGCCCGTCTCTGCCACCCAACCCCCTACATGCCTCACCCCCGATGCCTCGCCTCGGCCTTTCACGTCGGTAGCTCGCTTTCCCAACCCCGACAGTCTCAGGCCCTCCGTTTTATCCGGATGTAGCTTTTCCTCCCAATCAGTGAGCACTTGACCGAAAAGTTTTTCCGCCCCAGCCGCCTCCTCTGCCACTCCAACAATCCCGGTGTCGTCCGCATAGCCAAAATCGCCGACCACCACCACTTTAGTTTCTTGCCCGGCCTGGTGCCGTACCACGTGTTGCTTCCTCAATTTGCCATCTACCTTATACTCCCATTCCAGCCCCGGTAAATACCCCTGTTCCGATGCCTTAGCCGCCCGTCTTGCCCTGAAGTCTTCCATTACAGCATCATGATAAATGTTAAACAACACCGGCGAACTCGGGCAACCTTCCCGTAGTCCTCGCTCCGGAATGTATGTTGACGAGCACCCTCCATGCACACGAACCTTCATTTCCGTATGATTGTGAATGGCTTTCAGCACCTTAATCATACCGTTCGGGCAGCCTCGTCTTTCCAGCACCCGCCACATAGCCGGCCTGCAAACCCTTGGATAGGCTTTTTCTATATCGAAAAATCTAAGTAGCACCACCTCCTCGCTGTTGCTTCGGGCAATTTCTTCTGCTGTCCTTCGCGAGACTTGCTGTACATCGTCCACCCCCCGCCCGGCCCGGAAGCCTGTCTGGGCTTCATGCAACCATGTATCCGACCATCTCGCCAATCTGTTGGTGACCAACCTTGCCATTACTTTGGTGCCGACGCTCAAAAGGGTGATCCCACGCCATGTGTTCTTATCCTTCTTATCCCCTTTGCGTTTCCATAATGGAACCACCAGTCCAACTCGCCATTCCTCCGGCCATGACGCCGCTTCAAACGCATCGCTAGCCTCTTGCGCCACCCTCCAAGCGCGCATCAACACCCGAAAAACTACATCCCGGACCGTATCACCCCCGTACTTCAGGTACTCAGCCATGAACCCATCCTCGCCCGCCGCTCTGCGATTTTGCATTTGGTGGATGACCCGTTCAAATTCCTCCCGCGTCGGCTCAGCCTCCAACCACCGCGCAGCCTCCGCTCCCCTCGTCACATTAGCCCATACCGACTCCGGTACTGCGCCCTCGCCCGCCTGTATGCGACGAAAGTGTTCACGCCACGCCTCTCTCTCTGCCTCAATGTCCGCTGGTCTCGCCGTTCCCCCGTCCCGACGTTTCACATCTTTATGCGCCCCCAATAACCGATGTAATCGGAACAACTCGCCCGTGTCCCTATCCGCCTCTGCTTTGAGTGCCCGACTCGCCAGGTCCGCCCAGTACGCCGTTTCCCACGCTCCGACCCGACGGTTGCGAGCGCGCCTGGCCGCGTTAAGATCCCGCCTAGTGGCTGTAGCCTGCGCTGTTTGTTCCCTATAGTCCATGGTCTACTGAACGCCCTGGCCTCTCGGTCCATTCTACGACTCTCCGTAATCGCTGCATCCATCTGTCGCAACTCGGCCTCATGTCCCTCCAGCCACGGCCTAACCGGAACCTTGTGCGCCCTACCCAACACCTCCATCGCCGATTCTTCACATATGCGCACCACCTCTGACCATCCCATATCGGCCAACCCCTCCCCTTGCTCCTGAAGTTTGCGCTCCACGGCCTCCCCGAAGCCCTTACGATACGTTTTCGCCACCTCCCCCATTCCGTTGAGCTTAGCAACATCCGCCCTAGCCACTCTATCCCTGGAAGACGCGCTCGGTGCCCATAACTTACCCTGACGTAGCGTCAACACTACTGGATGATGGTCCGTGTAGGGACCCCACTGCCATGGGACTCCCCCGTTGCCTATTCTGCGCTCGTGTCCCTCGTGAATCACCCTACACCCTGTCAAATGCCATCTCTCCGTTCTCGGCATAAAGAAGTGATCCAAGATATGTTCCGTGTTAAACCGCGTGTGCCACCAGGTACCACGACAACGTTGTGCATACTGACTCGACGCTTCGAACCAACCCTCGTTCCGACACCACGCAAGCCACTCTTTGCCTGCTTCGGACCGACGCACATATCCATAAGGCCCCAGTACATCCGACCAATCCCCCTGTCTCGCTAGTCCCATCTCCGCGTTAAAATCCCCTGCTAGGATTCCCAAGCTTGTCGCCGGAGCATCACTGAGCATCTGTTGTACCTGACGCAAACACTCCTCCCGCTGTCGCTTCCGAGCCGCTGCCGTCGGCGCATAAACCCCCACCACATGCATCCCTCTCCGCCACCCCTGACGCGGAAAAGTTATGCTCGCTGCGCGCACTTTATCATTACCCTGCACTGTCGCCATACCAAACCTGCTCCCCCCCGCCTCCCACCAAGTGGTCCAACGTTCATTCAGAAGAAAACCCACAGTCCCAGCTACGACCAGCGTCCATACCTGCGCCTCGGTCTCGTAAGTTCGTACCCCCACCTCCCTGAACTTCAAATCCGTGAGGATAGCCAAACCCACCCCACGATGCTGCATGAACTGTAGGATACACTTCGTCTTTATAGCCTGGTCTATCTCCGCATACCGTGCTCCCCATCCCCGCGTATTCCAAGTCAGTAAAGTTAAAGTGAGCTTCTTCCTAGCTTTGTTCTGCTTACTTTTCATATTGCTCATACGTTTCGCCGCCTGCCTAACGAAAAAAGTCTTTTTCAATTTCTTATGTTTTTTTGCCGCCGCTTGTGCTCTGTGCCGCCGTATCACCCTTCGAGTCGCCATCCTGCCCATATTCGCCGCATTTGCCGCCTCTAGTTTACGCTTCAAGTGCCTTTCTCCCGATCGTACAACATCATCTAGCATTCTATTGTAACGCTTGCGAGCTCCCGAAGACGGTAAGTTCCCATCCCGGTTGTCGTCCTCTCCCCGACCACCGTGCTGAGACACCCAAGGGCCCGTATGAAAACCTGCCTGCCCATTCGCGCACGCCGAATCATCATGAGCAGTGCCACGGCCACCGACAACTGCCCGTTCCCTGATCCCTGAGGAAGAGGAAGGGGAACCACCCGAAGGGGAACCCCCAACCGCCTCAACCACGGATGGAATCAGAGCTTGCACTCTCCCGTCCCTCCCAACCTCCCCATGACATGCCATGCCCGACGTGTCTAGAGGGACTCCAGACCCATGAGGGACTGGATTGGGTTCGCCTGTGACAACCTCAGTAGCTTCCTAAACCTTTCGCACGTGCCTGTAGCCTCGTACTTGTCACAGTTGCCTCTTCGACGCCCGCGTAGAGGGCCGAGTGCGAGTCGCCTAAGACCCTAAACCCTCACGTCACATGTGTTTGTAGAAAGCTAGTATTGAAACCCTGTCGCCTGAATCCGTGCCTGCTTGTCCGAATGTACGTGTTGAAACGCGTGAGCCTGCCTTGTGCAAGCGTGAGAGTCGAAACCTTATCTCAATTATTAAGGCCTAAACCCTTAAGCCTGAGGCTTGCGATGCGAGAGCCAGAAAGCCAGTGCTCACACCCCGTAAACCCTTAAGCCCTAGCCCTAAACCCTATTCTACACTGTTGATTAAGTTTTTTGTCATCATAATACCCTACAGTTTCCAGAAAGCCTATTCTACTACATAGACCATAAAAGTTAAGGCCCCTTTCTATGTCCCAGACCTCCTTTAGAGGCCTGGACTCATTGAGCCGCTTCCGTGAGCCGTGCCCCTTTTATGTGGCTTGGCTGGGTCACCTTGGGGTTTAGGGTTTAGGGAGTCACTTTGGGGGTTTATCATTCAGTGTTCAGGGCTGCGGCTCAGGCTTGGGATTCAGGTTTAGGGTTTGGGGTTCAGGGCTTGGGTTTTAGGAAAGTGACAGATGTCCTGGCAGTTGCACAAAAGGATTTAGGACAGTTCAGTTTAGGGTTTAAGGCCTTTCAATTCGAAGACCTAACCATGAAGTCCAAAAGCCCGAAACCCAAGAAGTTCCCCGAATGCGAGCGACGAAACCCACGAATGCCAGCCATGAACATGAACACACGTAGACCCTGGACGCCCTAAGCAAGCCCAAACTCGAGCCACCAACATTCAAAAAGAAGGTCCTTGCGGAACAGGAGGCAAAACACCTACACCCTAAACCTGTTTTGAAGCTCGAAGCGGCACCTTCTCTTTCACACTGGTGGCGGGACATGGGTGTCCTAGGGCCTCTGATAGCTTGAAAAAAGCTAGGATGAAGATGCAGCAAGTCTTGGACTCATGCATTATGACGAGGCATAGACTAACAACCGTGCTTAATGAACCTCCGCGTACCGCTTGATGGACTGCGATGAGGGCGCCAGGCTTGTTGACGAGGAGCACCAGCCAGCGTCGGCCCCGTCGCCATGCTGGCGGAGAAGGTGCAGCTTTCGGCTCACCGTATTGGCGGTGACGTCCGCGGCCCTGCTCGTCCTCGCAATAGTCGCTGGTCCTCAGATGCACGGGAGCTTGTGGGAGCTTGGGGAGATCCGGGATGTGGTCTCCCTGGCTGACAACGGACCACCTCCGAACTACAGGGGTGGCGGATTGCTCGACCAGAAGCTGGCGAAGAAGGGCGCGGACCTTGGTGTCTGCGTGGGCCATGTCATCTCCGCTGGAGCCTGGACCGCTGCTGTTGCGCTCAAGGTGGCCGGCGCATCGGTGGAGTGCGATCTCGGCAACTACGGCCCCGACCCAGGAGACCGGCAGTTCCGCAGAATTGACCGGACAATCGCGGAAGACCCAGAATCTCGGAAGTTACGTGGCCCGCTGTGCGCACGGAATGTGTTGGCCTTCATACGTGATTCCGCCACGGTGGGCACGCTCCTGGAGGCAGCTGCTGACTTCTGCTCGAATCACCGCATCGACAACATTCCGTGTGCTTCTGCCGTGATGAACGTAGTGCGACAAAGCGCACACTTCTCGCGCTTCGCCAGCGAGCTGGCGCCATTTTGCCCTGAGGACTCTGAGCTTCGGAGCTTCTTCCTCTGTGGAAACCGGATTGAAGGACTGGGCTGGATAATCGACGCGTTGCTTGGCGCCATCTCCTCTGCGGCTCGCACCTGCGGAGCCAAGGACGTTGACTTTACGCCGAAGCCGAAGGTGGACTATGGCTCCTGTGTCGGGGACGTGCTCGGTTCGGCCGGGTACATCGCGGCCTCGGGCTTCAACACCTGGAATGCCGCGAACTTCGGATGCCTGGGGGCACTGGAGCCCGAGGAGATTCTCAAGTTGACTCCCACAGAGAAGGATCGCATCAACGCACGTTGTGCGCAGCTTTCCGCGTCATCAGCGCGGACCTTCGCCATCGCAGCCGCCAAGGCCAGCGAAGCAGCACAGCACTGCTCGCCCAACGCAAACGTCAGCAAGGAAGCCAGGTGTGGTCGCACCATGTCTTTGGGTTTGGCGGCTTTGGCTGGTGCTGCAGAGGCCGCCGGCCGCATGCGCAGCGAGTGTGGAAGCCAACGAGCCTGCTGCGAATCCCGCGTAGGCAGTCCCTTCGAGTTTGATTGCGACTGCACGGGAGACTTTTTCCTTGAAAAGGCGAAGAGCGACAAATTCCGGGAGAAGCGCTGTGCCCGGTGGGCCTCCGGAATGATGAAGGAGATTTCCATTGTTTGGACCATGATGTCCGAGGCCGCTGGCGAATGCGGCGACAATGATTTTGCGAGCAATGCTTGCTCCCACTTCCTCGGTGGCACCTTTGCAGGGCTCTTCTTCTTTTCTGAGGCAATCAGCCGAATGGCTCTGAGGTGTAAAGACACAGCGGACAGACCAATCATCTACTTCGCTTGTTTCCAGGATCAAGGCTTCATGGGAGAGTCCATAGACACCATGGCTGTGGCGATCGGAGCTTCCTTGCGGGACTGCGGCTACGGCTTCGGCACGGTGAAGAGGAAATCTGGCTGGCTCGGTTTTGGCCGCCGCTATTTTCTGCCATGAGGCCTCAGATCCGCATCCCAAAGCGGGAATTTTGGTGAGTTCGCAGAGGTGGTGAAGACGAGCTGCGAATGGGCAACACCCAAGCTCTCGTTTCAGGCATCTTGTGCCTCTGAGGTTTTTAATCACAGCTGGGCCGCAGCTAGCCCGCGGCGATGGTCAGAAAATGTTTCCTTGATGCCTTCAAAGTGGTGGCATATTGTCAGCCTTCTTGCTCTGTGCTCAAGGGCGCTGCGATCGGAATGCACGACCTGAACCATGCGATGGCATGGTCCGCAAGTAACTAGTCGATTATGATGCTAGCAGCTGCTTGCATGCTTTCTCCTCATATGTGCTAGCTAGCCGTACAATTGCAACCCGATAAGGGTCCAAGCAGCACTTGCGGCATCCTTTTTCGATCAGAACAATTACTTCGAGCACTCCTCACGGGCGAAGCACGCAGAGGTGCAAATCCCGAAGCCTGCCTGCCCACAATCTGCGTAGTACTGCAGAGGCACAAGCAGAAAGAAGAATCACCAGGCACCATTCTTCTGTAGTTGCTCTTGCACTTAACGCCTATGGGCCCACGGTGGGCAGCCATCTTGCAGTTTTTGACGGATTTCCTGGGGGTCCTGAGAACATCTCACTACTACGGACTTGAAGGGCCTGAAAGGAGATTCCGTTATGCACAGTCGGGCAGAATAGCCGCGGCTGCCTCAGAATATTTGCAGATACAACTGGGTGATACGGTGTCTGATTCGGTGGCCTTGTGCAGCTCACTCAAAGTGATAAATTCAGGGAGCTCGGGAGATCAGTCGTGGTATTCTGCGAGCACGTGGAATTCATGGTGCAGTGGGCCTGGACGTGATGCATTTATTCCCAACAGCACATACTGTTGGGTTTCAGTCTCTAAAGAAACCAGGCCCAGATCAAAAATGACGCGGA